TATATATATATATATATATAGGTGATTGGGGCTGTTTTCGCCCCAGGCAGTGACCAAGGGAGAAGAAAGAAGAGGAGAAGAGTGGTATTAACCAAGGGAAGAAAGAAAAGGGAGAAGAAGAGGAGAACCTGGAGTCGACACCGCTCTCCCTCTTCTCATCTGTCAATGACTTCTCCTCATCCGTGCGGGGAGAAAAGAGGCGATGTCGGCAAAAACGGTTATATATATATATATATATATATCGAGTGGTATACCGAAATATACTGCTCGATATACAGTATCGTACCGAGTGAATCTCGAAACTCCGGTACGACATAAAATTTCAATCCTTGGCTTGGACCATGTTTGCTAATACGTAATGAATTTCAGAAAAAGGAAGAAAAAAACTAAAACATAAAAACAAGTTGCTACTCGATACAAGACCTGTACTTAGTAAAGTCCCTATATAAGGCCTAATGGGTAGTACAAACTTTGTAGTAAGTCATACATGCTTTATACTAGGCAAACCACCTGGTTTACCTTGATTCACATGTCGATAGGCTATCGAACCAAGTATTTGGGCCACTACAATCTCCTTTTTCAAATGCTTAGTGTCCTCGTCAAACTAGTCTAAAATTATTCCCTAGTTGGTGACACGTGTAACTGATAGCACCACAATGGTGGCTCCACACTATGACAAGCCAGTTGCATGGTTCACAAGTAGTCATTCTTACTAGGTGCACCATTGAACCTTTTAGGTAGGATAGATCCCCAACCAATTGTTACCTAATATCCAAATAACCTGATTGAAGAGGCTCTTAATCATGTATCACCCAAAATGGTTTAGCACAAGCTTTTAGAAATTCACCCATCTAGTTTTATACACCAAACAAATTTGTCATCTAGTCATGACATGGAACTACTTAAATTAACACCAAGAATTATTGTTTTCAATGACTCAAATGTCATATGATGATGAACTATTATAGTTTTATAGCACCTAGCACAAAATGATCCCCTTTAAAGGCAAACACCCCTTGCAGATTAGATCGACTGACATAATACCCTTTAAACTAGGATTCTTAGATCTTCTAGGACCTGTAAGACTTTATCAAAAAATAATTGATTGCTTACAACAAACTTAATTGACCTCCAAAACTACACAGATTTCACTGATAAGCCATAAAATTTGGGATAAGCCACCAATTTTTTACATGTTAGCATAGCACATGCAATGCCCTATGCCTTCTCTGCATAACACAAGCCAGTCAGCATCCATGGTTTAGGTTAAATATTAGGTTACTAATATGTCATCATGGAAACAGACAGAACATACCAAGAAAAACTCAGTCATACTTTGTGTATGTTCATCATTTTAGCATATCTGCCTATCAGGTAATTGTTCTCTTAAATTCAACAAGCAGTAACTTCCATAGCAACAAAATTAACAACACTATTAAGCAGAAACAGTACAGTACTAAATAGGATAGTTGATCACACGTGTCCGATTAAGGTGTTTAAATACAAGCAGTGCCATTCATTGCATGCAGGCACAATGTGTTCTGCAAAGTATGGTTTGCAGTACCGGTCCGTACCGCCCGGTACGGGCGGTACGGCTCGGTACGACAGACCCTAAACTCCGGTACGATACGGTATTGCGAACCTTGCTGCAAACCATGTTCAAATGGCCTTGAATATAAGCACCTTGGTCAGTTCTGTGTCCAATTATCAGAATCTTCTGCTTTCTAATGTTCCTTTTAAGTTCATAACCAAATTACCACATTGTAATGTGTCATCATCGGTATTTTGCGGTAAAGTTAAGGGTATTGGAGGCACAGCTGCACCCCATGAAAACACATGCACAATCATGGAAGAGACAAATGAAAAGCAATGGAAAATAATAAACCTGGCTGCATATAGCATGCCAGCATCCACAAATGTGGACTCTATATGGGTTGACACAGAATATAGAGTATCCCTGCAGCATAGCACATATATCTTAGAACCCAGGGTATAAGTAGGGACGATGGAAGAGTATACAATGCACCAAAGAGAGGATGCAAGACCAGATACACAAAACTACATCAGAAAGTGAAAGAAGACCAATTTACTTAACAAGAAAAAACATGACTTTAAATATAGTGTAACTACCATGAACTTCCAGCAGCATTTGAAATTATGTCATAGAGAACCATTGGATGAAGTCCTGCTCTAACTCCAAGATATATGGCTTCCACAGAAGCAACAAGATGAATGCCTTCTAGAAGACTATTCACAGCCCAAATCTTACTACAAAAGGATGTGGATAAACAAGACAGTCAATAACTAAACCAAAAAGACAAGATAAAATACACATGAAGAATTTGCTTATTAAAGCCCTGGAAAAAGAAACCACAAGAAAAGCACTTACCTTCCAGTACCAATTTCATCATGACAAAAATAGACCTTCTTGCTAATAGCTGTTCAGGTGACACATAGTCAGATATCTTGAAAAACGTATGATAATGAATGAGGAATTATGTTAGTCATATATTTCACCTGAGAAGAAAGGTTGAATTTTTTCATTTGTACTTCCACGTCCAGATGCAACAATCTAGAAATAGCTGAATGTCAATAACCTCATTTAACATATTGGATAAAAGCGTTTAACATATTAAATGCCATGCATATAGCTCACAATAATTTTTCCATTCATCTCCTCAGAAACTCCACGAAAAATGTGTGCATCAACAAAAGCCACATCTCCTACCTCCTCTGCACAATAGAACAGCTAATTAGTCACAGATAGCATCTTTAAATTTTGAACGAAAACAGAATCATAACTATAGTAGAAGATGATCCTTCTAATTCACAGTTCTTTACAAAATCACCATTACAATTTTATTTCAGTCAAAAACTCACCCAAGTATTTACTATCAAGTAACATCCTCAGCGTGATAACAGCAACAATTGGTAAAAAGCACAGAAAAGTCTATTTAGGATACATATCTAATAAAATGTTTGAAAACATCAAACAGAACAAGATGCATGCAGAGCAACACCTCATGCACACTGAAGATTAGAAAAATTTTCATAGGTTAGGATTTAGAGAGAACTTGGCAAATGTTCCATCATGCACATTAGAGTGTGAAGCCACCCAGAGCATAAATCAAAATGAAGATATTTTGTCAAGTATGCTCTACCAAAGTTGCCAGTACTCTGTACACTAGATAAATGAAACTTTCAAGATCTCATTTCTTTGGACCTGTGAGATACTTCTCGATCTTCTGAGTATGACTTGGAGGCAATGTTGATCGAAAGATAATGACTGAACCTTTGTATAATCCTACAAAACATGAAAGAGTTGAAAAGGCATTAATAAATAAAAGAAATAAGCTCAGAACCACAATGGGAAACATATATATAAACCTTTTGCTACATTCTCCTCTCCATAGAGAACCTCATGCAATTCATTCACGGAGGCCACAATAATCACAAATGTAGCACCTATGCAAAAGAAAAGAAATTCAGCAAACCACTAATGATGTAAAGAAAAATGGGATCTGGAAAACAAGATGTAAAGAAATTTTTGGAATCTTAAATACTTTAAGAGAAATAAGACCTTAAGAGTTCAATATGCAGCCTCATGGATTCTCATATTTTTATTTACCAGAGCACATATTGGTCCTACTTCAATTGGGTGACGAGCCATGGGTACCAGCATTATGCTATTCTTTTAATCTTCACTGAACCAGTGCAAGGAATAAACTGATCAATTTAACTAATGCACTTCTTTACTTATATTCAAAGAATCAGAAGCCTTCTAGGTAAACATGTCATAGCCTCCATTCTGGAGTTAGCTTTAACTGGACGAAATACTGTAACCTATTTGATTAAGTAACCAAAATATGGTCAAAGATGATACTGACTTCATATATGCAACAGATCATACACACGTTTACCTTATCCCTACTCTTGGAATGTAGAGTGTTTGTCTCCCTATAGAAAGTCTGGGGTTCAATCCCCATATTTTGCACCTTGTGCATCAAGTTAGTTCTATTTTATGGAAAATTTATTCCCCTCTTGTGATTTGAGAAGGGGCCTTCACAATTCCCCTTCTCAAAACGACCATATACATCAGATTGTTAGTGATGATGTGTGACATGTGTCAACCACATGGCACCAAAATGCAACCCACACTAAGATGTGTCATCCACATTGTGATGATATGACATCCACACAGTGCATCTGGAGTGTGAATGCCACACTGATTTCATGTCATTGTCAACACTCAACAGATTATTGAACTATGCCATGTCACTGCCAATAATAATTTTCTAAAACATTTGGTTTTATGCAGCGAATATTTCAGATAGAGGGTCAAATACTCATTTAATCTCATAAACAAAGTTCCAAATGCCGGTCAAAATGGTACATACTAATTGGTATTTAACACTATAACCGCGGATCAATACTATATCATATAACTAGGTATCAATTGGTATTCCTTTTCTAATTTTTTTTTTCCAGCTACTGGATGGCACAGGTTGGTATACCAATACAGCACACATCCATATCTCCAACTCTTGGGGCTTCAAATTCCAGATCCATATTTATACACCAATTCAAATGCTTCACACCTCAGCATCTTATTTTCACATTTGATGCCAGAAAAATTATTGAAAACAAGAAGTAGCAAAACCAACACCCATATTTAGCTATCATAACCAGCGTAGTGAATAAATAGAACTAGAGTATAAGGCCTCGAAATTTATAGTAAAATCCAATAAGATTTAAGCACTGACCCCTTGCTGCCTCCATAGGACATCGGCACTTCACTCCACCCAACGCCAAGAACCCATTCATCAGAGAGGACTCGGTCACCTGCAACCATGCAACGATCACTGATAAAACATCCAAAGCTGGCAAAGCTGGGCCATTTAGCAAGACAAATCAAGTCAAGAACAAGTTCTTGGTGGTGGTAACAGATCCTTAAGGCAAACAAATAGCGTCAGGACCTCGAATCCCTGAAGGCGAAACCCGGATTTGACGAGCAAGGAAGCGATCTCCAAGCTGAGCTCGTCGAGCCCCACGAACCCAACTACGGTCGAAGACGCCATCGCAGACGATGATGATGAAAGCTCCAATTCCGTCGAGAATTGGAGAGGGGGCCGAATTAAATGGGGAACGGAGGCGTTTTCATCCAATAGATACTCGCTTGGAAGATGGGTGGAGAAAAGGCCGCTGCTGTCGATTCATTCCTGAAGTCGCGGGGCCAGATTTAGTGGATCCATCGAATTCGCGAACCGATGCATGCCACAATCGTACACCCCCTCTCTCTCTCTCTCTCTCTCTCTCTCTCTCTGTATATATATATATATATATATATATATATATATATATATATATATACCCCAAAAAAATAAAAAAAATCATTATAATTAAAATTCATTATTTGGACTATAACAAAATTAGAATTTAAATAACATTGATATAGATCAAAGTACATGGCTTATGGATTTTCTGGTTTCTTTAATTTGATGGCTGTCAATTCAATCTTCGGCTCTTATTTTTTTATGGAGCAAAAATATTTCTTTTTCTATTTTTATAGGGTAACTTAATTCATTTTAAAATCGAGAGATACGTAGAACTTTTTTGTTTTATTTGACGCGGTGGCGCCCACGGAGCGCGTCCGCTGACTCGGTGCCCAGATATCACTCACCGATCCGGATCGCGTGTATGACGGTTACGGGTGATGGCGGATCGGCTGTCTTGCAGAAACCAAGAGCTAAAAAGTTAGCTATTATGATTATGCACCCACGGAATAACTCGTGGGGTCCACGATTCTGCCGGTTGCCAGATAGCTTTGTTTAGTAAATCCTGCTGGATACGGCACACCCGTCTCTGTCGCTTTAAACCGTCTACGTGTTGCGAACGTGTCGGGAGTAGTTTTTCTGATAAATTAGCAAAGCCGATTTGAATAAGACAAAGGAGTTAAACGTAATTTAACTCCATCAAGTGAAAGATGGGGTAGGCATGTGTACTGTGTTGGTCACGTGGCCACTTGTTCTTGGCAATGTTAGTGTTGCACGTGTCGTGTTGTGGGTGATGTTTATTTTATTTACGAACTCATTTCGATTTCGATTATAAAATAATCCAATTTAAATTACTCGAATTTTATACTAGGTGAAAAAGTCCAACCTATCCCCTTAAATATCACATGCAGTTTCATACGAATAATATTGGACACTTCAGTTCCCTTAGCCACATGCATTAAAAGATAATAAAGACATAAAAACATAAAAACCAGTGATCAAGACCTAGCCTCGCTAGCTTTCTATCTCTCTCTCTCTCTTAATACCTTTGTCATAGAGGCTCTCTCTTAATACCTATGCAGGGTAGGAGACCGAAGCTAACTTATATGTCCATATCATTTGGTGTCCCAAACAATCATATATTTACATTAATGATTGACAATAAGTTACCATTCTTAATGCCTTTGCTATATAAGGTAATGCATGTTTGAATCGCTCAGTGCCGAAGTATAAAAATTATGCCCTAGGTTAAGCGCCAAGAGGGGTGAAGTAAACAATAGTCTCTCTACTCTCTTATTTACATAACTGATACTATTGTCTTCCTCCCCCTTCACCTTTCGCTGACTTAAGTATCAAAGGGATTCAGCTGGGAAGCCCCCGACATAGACCTATTATGCAGGATCATTGACGATCATAAAACGACTCCGCTACCAGGATGTAGCCTCGTAGACACGAGACAACCCTTCAACCTGAGGACAATCTATCCGTCTAAAGAGAGGACCTCACAACCGAATAGATCCCGGTTCCTCTACCCAGTCTCACCGCTCCAAAGCTAGATCGACCCCAACAAACCACCTCCCTTGTGGACCTCCTACAATGGTTTGTCACTTCAACATGAAGGAGAACACAAGAATGAATATACACCTTCGGTAATGAACCAATCGATAGTATCGATGAACTATCATTTTGGCATTAGAAGGATGGTCGAACTGCTAGTCATAGGTGCCTTACAAGCCAATTATGTGAGTGATGTCACGTGTGGTATGACACACACTCTTTTTACTTATTATATTATTTGATATTTTATCACTTTATATTACTTGTTGCATAAAAATATATATATTGTGATGTCCATGGATCCGTGCAATGAGAATCAAATCATGATAAGATTATGATAATGAGATCGATTCGCCTTTAAACACAGATCATAAATAATCTCGATCATAAGTACTCAAGAGGGACATCAAGATAATCAGATAGACTAGTATATTATATACCTATCCATACGATGGAGGTAACAGGTCTCATAGTTGCTCATGTGGGGACACTAGGGAGATTAAGAGATAAAGAATTCTCTAGGAGAATCCGATTAGAACGAGACTTAAGGAGAAACCATATGGGTCTAATAGTATTATGCCCGGTATACAATCTCTGGGATATTAGATTGATGAGAGACTATAGGTATACGATAACTGAGGATAAATATGTCCAAAGGATTAGATTCCCCTATATCGTCTAGGGACTGCGACGTAGTGGCCTAGTACATCCGTAGTCGATGAATCAAATGAATTATCATAAAGATAATAATCTACCGAGCTAGAAGGAGTTCTAACATATATGACTCATGGCCAGCTCGATATTAGGCTTAGAGGGTTACACACATATGATAGGTGTTGCGATGAGTAGAGATTCAGATATGAGATATCCGCTGGAGCACCTATCTTATTGGATATCCAATAAGCCCCTGAATTATTAGATCATATAGATGAGATCAAATAAGAGCAAATAAAAAATTATTTGGTAGAGACTCACTAATCTAAGAGGCATGGGTAGTTGGATGGGAATCTAGTACCCAATATAATATGATTCATCAGGGTAAGTTGATATGAGGCCTCTATAAATATAAGAAAATACCTCTGATCCTAAGTCCTCTCGGGAAGAGAAGGAACGTATCCAATTTCAACAGAATGATGCCTTCGCCTCATCCTCAGCAACCTTGGGGACAACCTAGGGACCCAGGTTTTAGTAGCCCTATGCCTCCACCTCATCCTTGGCAACGCCAAGAACAACATAAGGAACTAAGCCTTAATAGTCTAGCGCCTCCACCTCGTCCTCGATTGCGCCAAGGACAACCCAGCAAACCTGGCTTCAGCAGCCCAACGCCTTCGCCTTATCCTCAACAGCGCTAAAGATAGCCCAAGGAACCAGGCCTTAGTAGCCTAACGCCTTAGCCTCGTCCTCGATAGCACCAAGGATCGCCTAAGGAACTAGGCCTCAATAGCCTATTGCTTCTGTCTTGTCCTCGGCAGCACTAAGGACAACCTAGGAAACTAGGCTTAAGTAGCCCAACACCTCTATCTCGTCCTCGGCAGTGCTAAGGATAGCCCAAGGAACCAAGCCTCGGTAGCCTAGCGCCTCTACCTTGTCCTCGGAAGCACCAAGGACAACCAAGAAAACTAGGATTTAATAGCATAGCGCCTTCGCCTTGTCCTTCGCAGTGTCTAGGATAACCCAATGAACTAGACCTCAATAGCCCAATGCCTCCATCTCATCTTTGATAGTGCTAGGGACGGCCCAGGAAACCAGGCTTCAGCAGCCTAACACCTCCACATTATCCTCTACAGTGCTAAGGATAACTCAAGAAATCAAGCCTCGGTAGCAGCCAAGGACCTTTGCCTCATCCTCAGTAGTGCCAAGGACACCAGGGAACCAGGCTTCAATAGCCTTGTGCTTCTACCTCATCCTCTTCAGCACTCACTAGGCCTCTTTAGTCTTTGCTCAGCCAGTAACTTGCTCTATTTCTATTGATGGGTTTAGCTCGTTTCTTTAAAAAAAGATAAGATTTTTATATTTTTGGTGCTATAACAGCTAAAATTTTCAGTAAAATGTTGGACGCCAGAGGCTCAAATTTGTGAAGATTTGGATGCTATCTGTGAAAAATGCTTGCCTTTAACTTCTTACTGCTATAATTACTTTTGCTCGATAGTTATTTGAGAGTAGGCGTTTCATCACAGGGCATTTGGAATTTGAGTCCATCAGACCCATCGTATTGTAAATTTGAGGTGGTTTTTACTGTGGTATATGTCACTGGCCAATCGATTTATATAGCTTTTGAGAAGAATCAATAGTCAAATTGATGGTAGATGCTTCTGATCTAGTTCCGAATCTGCCTTATGCATTTGCTTCTAACCCTCAGCTCTGCTCTTTAAGGAGGTTCAACAGTGCAGTGGTCTTTCTTGAGCAAGGTGCCTACCATGCAGCCATTCATATTTCAAGAGGAGAAGCCAAGAAACTGTCTTTGATGAACACTCAATCTTCTAGATTCCAACCTATATCAGCCATTGATGCCTTCGAGGCCAATCAGATAGGTGTGCATCGATTTTCCAACTGATTTTAAACAACACCAATCATCACACTGGTCATTTTGCTCACCAAACTGGCATGTTCTTGCGTCTTGATATTGTAGAAATGCTTTGGTTTTGACATATGGCACAACGTCAACCAATATACATTCCATGCATGTCAGCCTCAGAACACTGGTCTTGTTGATCCTTGGCACTTCACCGCACAAGTTGAATCACTCTATCCCTGTCAACATGAGCAGTCCTTTGTTCAAGCAACAGCCTTTTGGAGGTGGAACCACAGTTAGCGCCGTGCCCCCGTTGGTGGCCCTGTGCTTGGTGGAGCCATTGCTCCAAGGTAAAATATTTTGTGATAAGTTTCAGAACAAAGCCTTCAACTCTATGCTTCAGACATTATCAATTCCATCTTGTTGACGATTTGGCATGATGTATTTGTTTCTCCAGCAATATGCCCGACACCACCACCAATATGACTGCTCAGCCAACTATTTTCTTCAAGGAGTTCGTAAATGTGATTCTTTCATATTTCATGGTGATCATGCAAGATGGAGAATGAATACCATGGGTGTGAAGCAATTTTGTTGATTAATTTTCTTTTCAGGCTCAACAAATTATGTTATTAGCAAGGAGGGGATCTACAGCGACTTTAAATGTTATGAATCTATCTGAAGCACCCTTGCTAGATGCGGCCTCATTCCCACCTGAAGCAGTAGAATAAGATGATTTAACTACAAAATGGACTTTGACCTCTAATGGGAGTCATGTGGTTATCACCCTGCGACATTGCTAAC